TTTTTTTTGAGACGGAATCTCACTCAGTTGCCCAGGCTGGGGTGCAGTGGCATGATCTCAGCTCGCTGAAACCAATGTCTCCTGGGTTCGAGCGATTCTCCTGTCTCAACCTTCTGAGTAGCTGAGATTACAGGCACCCGCCATCATACCCGGCTAATTTTTGCATTTTAGTAGAGACAAGATTTCACCATGTTGGCCAGGCTGGTCTTGAACTGACCTCAGGTGATCCGCCCGCCTCCACCTCCCAAAGTGTTAGGATTACAGGTGTTAGCCACTGCACCTGGCCTTTTTTTTCTTTTTCTTTTTCTTTTTTTTTTGAGATGGAGTTTCACTCTTGTTGCCCAGGCTGGAGTGCAATGGCGCAGTGTTGGCTCACTGCAACCTCTGCCTCCCAGGTTCAAGCAATTTTCCTGCCTCAGCCTCCCAAGTAGGTAGGATTACAGGCATGTGCTACCATGCCCAGCTAATTTTTGTATTTTTAGTAGAGACAGGGTTTTTACCATGTTGGCCAAGCTGGTCTTAAACTCCTGACCTCAGGTGATCTGCCTGCCTCGGCCTCCCAAAGTGCTGGGATAATAGGTGTGAGCCACCGCGCTTGGCCTCTAATTTTCTAACAAATGAATTTTAGCAACTAGTAAATGACATTCACTTTAGTATCAGAGATGTCTCGTAACATCTCTTTTAAAAATAAAAACGAAAACAAAACTAAACAAAAAAATTCTAACAAACCTAGTAAAGCTACACTTTATAAGAGGTTATACTGGAAAGTACAAGTAGCTTGGTAGTCAGATGGCACACCTGCATTTTCCTAGTTGTGTAACTGGGCAAGTTTTCTAATCTGTGAAAGGGGATGATGATATTTAACTCAGAGGGCTGCTATGAAGATTGAGTTAATAAATGTAGAACATCTTACCACATTGCTGATACCTGGTTTCATTACTAATGGCTTCATTATTAGCAACTATTATCTTGTCTCACTTTTCAAAAGAATTTAAGAAAGGCACTATCAAAAACTGTAGGCAGCCAAGATCGATGACCTGAAAAATAACTTCAGCTGCCCTTTTGCAATTGGGGTCCTTCTTCGTTCCATTTTAAGCTTTTAAGTAAAAATCAAGTATTATTTGTTAGAGAGTCTAATTAAATAAAAATAAGAGGTACATATATAAAGAACTAAATTACATTGTACCTAAAGTCTTGGATATGTTAAAAAAAAAAAAAGTCTTTGATCTGTTATGATAAATATACATCCTTATAAAAGTGTAAAATGACAACAATCTTCAGAGTCACTTTAATTACAAAACAGTCCAGCTTAGGCAAGAAAAAGTTCTATTCCTTGTCAATGACAAAGAAGAATTCTCTTATTTATTTTCTCTGTGTTTACAAATCACTTCTACACACAAATGTTAATAACTGCAATATTTCACTAACATGTCCCAACTCAGCTGGGTGCAGTGACTCATGCCTGCAATCCCAGCACTTTGGGAGGTGGAGGTGGGCTGATCACTTGAGGTCAGGAGGTTGAGACCCAGCCTGGCCAACATGGTGAAATCCTGTCTACACTTAATCTACAAAAAATTAGCCGGGCATGGTGGTGCTTGCCTGTAGTCCCAGCTACTTAGGAGGCTGAGGTAGGAGAATCACTTGAACCTGGGAGGTGGAGATGGCAGTGAGCTGAAATCACGCCACTGCACTCCAGCATGGTTGACAGACTGAGACTCTGTCTAAAAAAAAAAGGGACCAACTCAGCTTAGTGTCTACATGAATACAATATAACTATTACACAGGAGGAAAGAAAGGCCACTGTTGTGTAACATAAGAACCAACAGATCTGTTTTTGCATATTCCAATAACCACTCTTTATAAATATTAAAATTTAACAATTCCTTCTGTTCTATGCACTTGAATGTAATCTCAACATATAGGACACTGCAATAAATTTTTGTCTGAAATATAAAAGAATAACAGTAAAACTGTATTACATTTTAGGACAGCAGTGATATTCTTGGAGGTGAGGGTAGAGATGGGGTGATACTGACCTGATAATTGGCAGAGTCACACTTCAGTCCTCAAGTATAAACTGTTAAAGTTTTCTTCAGTAAAGAATTGGGAAATTAACAAATATACTTAAAATGCCATTAGCATAGTGGAAATGTGTCCAATGCTGTAAAATAAGGAGAAATTTATTGTTCATGTGACTATACTATAAAGTTTGGTAAATCCCATTAATGTCAACTGTCATCGCTGATGAGGCCTGACAGCTATAGATTGATAATAACGAAAGAAGAAAATAGCCAGTTCTTCAAGTTGAAGTTGAATAATATATGAAAAATACCAGGAATCTGACTTCCCTTTTGCAACTAAAATAAGGGAAGGTGGAGGCTTTTGAGATCTTTTCAAGATGTCCACTGCCATTTTAACTACTGACTTTTCTCTTCCTGAAATGACAAAAACCTATTTGCTTGAATCACCATGACTTAAGCACAATGCACTTAGACAGAAAAATAACATAATTACAACAGAAATTTTTAAACTGCCAAATTCATGTAAGGAAAATTCTCATCTCTTTACCTTCCAACAATCCATAAACAAACAAATCAGCCTCTTAGCATCTTGACTGTCTATAAGGCTAATTACACATCCCCAGCTTCCACTTTTTCACATTTATGATCAGATGTTACATGTTAAATTATATGTAATTTTTTTGTTTATAATTTCCTAACAATGTATTCCGCCCAGCAAATTTTATTTAAAATGATATGCCTAGGCCTGTTGCAGTGGCTTACGCCTGTTATCCCAGAACTTTGGAAGTCTGAGGCAGGTAGATTATGAGGTGAAGAGTTCGAGACCAGCCTGACCAACGTAGTGAAACCCCGCCTCTAATAAAAATACAAAATTAGCTGGGCATGGTGGCACATGCCTATAATCCCAGCTACTCAGGAGGCTGAGGCAGGAGAATCGCTTGAACCCAGGAGGCGGAGGTTGCAGTGAGCTGAGATGGTGCCATTGCATTCCAGCCTGGGTGACAGGGTGAGACTCTGCCTTGAGAAAAAAAAAAAAAAAGATAAATTTTATTTGATAAAATGTAATTTTCATCTTGTATTTTAAGGCACGAAGTCTGAAAGCCCATTTGAGTTGCTGAAAACTAACAGTCAAATGGGGACAGTGTCAAAGGAAGAAATAATGCCACAGTAAGTACTTGGTTGTTTCATTAAAACAAGAATCAGTTATTAAACTAATTATGAATCTCTCAGTTTAGGAGAGGAAGTATGAGTTTGTTATATAGTCAAGAATACAGACCCAACAACATATACACAAACCACTGAATAAGCTATTCCAGCAATTTCTGCCCAATATATGGGCAGAATTATGTGGCTCAGGATATTCAGAAAAAGGGCATTTGTAGCCTAATATTCATTATCAGAAATATGATTGGCAGATTTTTGGTATGCCACATTGTAGTCTGTAGATTCATTCCCTACTTATCTTCTAAGCTGTCACTTGTCATTGTCATCATCAGTAACTCTCAAGGACAAGATCAATTCAACTAGATGCTCAGCTCATTCCTTCCAAGACCCAACTTTCCTCAGAGTTTAGACACAGATATTTCTAAGGAATACTAGTCTCTAAATCTGAAATAAAAACCACTTGTAGACAAACTGTCTGGATACATTATCATACTCTGTGGTATAGCCAGCTGTAGCAATATCAAGCTTTATAGTTTTCTCAATAAAAATACACATAAATATATACCATAAAAAAGATAAAGATATTTATCTTTAAAAAAGATAATTTAATAGTCTGGAAAAATAAGCCCACTTAAGGGCCAAGTATAACACTTATTTTTATGTTATCAATAAGTGATTTCAAATGAGCCAGTCCAGTATAACATTTGGTCTATTCACAGGTTTCATCCCACCATGAAATCTTAGGCCAACAGCCTGGACAACATGAGTCTTTTCTTTTTTTTTTTGGAGACCAAGTTTTGCTCTTGTTGCCCAGGCTGGAGTGCAATGGCGTGATCTCAGCTCACTGCAACCTCCGCCTCCCGGGTTCAAGAGATTCTCCTGCCTTAGCCTCTCGAGTAGCTGGGATTATAGATGTGTGCCACCAAAAATACACTAATTTTGTATGTTTAGTAGAGATGGGGTTTCACCACGTTGGTCAGGCTGGTCTCGAACTCCTGACCTCAGATGATCTAGCTTGCCTTGGCCTCCCAAAGTGCTGGGATTACAGGCGTGAGCCACCATGCATGGCTAGCATGAATCTTTTCTAGATGAACTTTCTTGTACCAATAGTCAGAAGTTATGGGTATCAAAAACTGCACACCCCGCACCAACCTCCTGTGCCTTCTTAACTGTAGTACTGAGTACTGATTTTGCCTAGAAGGATGTTGGTGTGGCTTGGGCTCTGATCTTTTCCCCTCTCTGGATAATACACAAGCTCCACTCATTCTGGTTTTGGTTGTGCTTCTTCCTTCTTGAAGAAGTCCCAGTTTCTGCTCTGGAATTCTGACTTAATTCCATAAGATAACAAGCATTGCTGCTCTTTTACCATATAGAGGCTGAGTGGCAGAAAAAGAAACACCCCAAACAGCTTCTGTAGCTACGCAAGCAATAGAGTAGGACAGGGCAGGGCAGGGTGGAGTACAAGCAAGATGTTTGTCTGTTATCTGGGGGTGGGCATATCTACATAGAACTGAAGGCTTTCTTTCTTTCCAGGTGGTAGGTGATAGGTTTTGCCACATAAGGTAGGAAAACAACATTTTCAGATGAGGCTTAGATAGTTCCTGACATAGAAACTCCTCAAAAAAATCTATATAGATTTTAATAAATCACTGGGCTAATTTTTTAAAAATCAGTAATTTTACCTAGGAGATCATTCTTGCAAAACTGGATAAAAATCACTTTTTTTTTTTTTTTTTTTTAAACGGAGTTTCACTCTTGTTACCCAGGCTGGAGTGCAGTGGCGCAATCTCGGCTCACCGCAACCTCCGCCTCCTGGGTTCAGGCAATTCTCCTGCCTCAGCCTCCTGAGTAGCTGGGATTACAGGCACGCGCCACCATGCCCAGCTAATTTTTTGTATTTTTAGTAGAGACGGGGTTTCACCATGTTGACCAGGATGGTCTCGATCTCTTGACCTCGTGATCCACCCGCCTCAGCCTCCCAAAGTGCTGGGATTACAGGCGTGAGCCACCGCGCCCGGCTAAAAATCACTTTTTAATATATACTCAGATATTCTAACAAGAAATTTGTACTCAGCTATCAAATTTGAGAAATTTATATTTGGACTACAAATGACTCAGATTAAGGCCATTCAGTAAGTTTTTAGCATTGGTGATCAAAGTGATTAGTGATTAGCGAGCAAAGACATAAAGGAAATTTACTCCAATTATGTAAAGACTTTTTTTTTTTGAGGTAGTCTTGCTTGGTCGCCCAGGCTGGAGTGCAGTGGCTCAATCTTGGCTCACTGCAACCTCAGCCTCCGGGGTTTAAGTGATTCTCCTGCCTCAGCCTCCCTAGTAACTGGGACTACAGGCGCTTGCTACCACGCCTGGTTAATTTTTGTATTTTTAGTAGAAATGGGGTTTCACCATGTTGGCCAGGCTGGTCTAGAACTCTTGACCTCAAGTGATTCGCCCGCCTCGGCCTCCCAAAGTGCTGGGATTATAGGTGAGCCATGGTGCCCAGCCTATAAAGACTCCTTCAATCCATATAAGCCAAGCCAAAATACAGGAGGCCAGTTAGTTCTTAAAATTCAGAGAACCAAGACTGATATGTGAAATGGCTGTTTTTGATAGTTTCCCACAAGATCGTGTACTTTCTTAGAAATACAAGAAATATTAATGAAAAAGAAACTTGCCATATTTACAAATACTAAATCTGAATACAAACACAAATGCACTGCTATTTTTAAAAAAATGGACTGAAAGCTTCAGTTAATCGAGTTGCTCCTTAAAAAAAAAATTAAAATGTATTCAAAGCAACCTCATATCAGGGGGTAGAAGGTGTTGACACACTACCTTGACTATCTCGAAAGATTTAAGATTCTAACTTTTTAGAAGGATCATTTATTCATTTGGGATAAAAGAGTGACAACATTCTAAATAGTTCCTTTTATTTCTCTTTGGCATTTAAGGATTAGTCTAGGAAGTAAAACATGTCAACGTGCTACTAGAAAATATTTTACTGGCTGGGTACAGTGGCTCATGCCTGTAATCTCAGCACTTTGGGAGGCCTACGCAGGAGGATCAATTGAGGCCAGGAGTTCAAGACCAGCCTGGGCAACAGCAAGGACTTATCTCTACAAAAAATAAATAATAAGAAAAGAAAGAAAGCTGATTTTGAAGGCCACGGCTCACACCTACAATCTCAGCACTTTGGGAGGCTGAGGCTGGTGGATCACCTGAGCTCAGAAGTTGAAGACCAGCCTGGACAACATGGCAAAATCCTGTCCCTACAAAAAATGCAAAAATTAGCCAGGCTGGCCAGGCGTGGTGGCTCACACCTATAATCCCAGCACTTTGGGAGGCTGAGATGGGTGGATCACCTGAGGTCGTGAGTTCGAGACCAGCCAGACCAACATGGAGAAATCCCATCTCTACAAAAAGTACAATATTAGCCAGGCATGGTGGTAAGTGCCTGTAGTCCCAGCTACTTAGGAGGCTGAGGTAGGAGAATCACT